TGCTAGAAGAAAGTCATGGAGCTACGCCTACACAATTTTTAATATAGCTTAAGTCATGGAGCTACGCCTTTCGGCTTGGGAACGCTGCTCCAGCAAAGCCCGGTTTTCGATAAAACCCGCTGTAAGTGAGCAACGCCTACGCAATTTTTAATATAGCTTTTAATTAATTATAGTAACATTATTAGGATGTTAAAATATCTATTTGGGATATTATAATGAGTTATATAGTGTTGTTTAACACTTATATAATAATAATAACAGCTAGACTATTAAATTAGTCCCGGTAAATACTGAACTAAACCCTAGTGGTAATGATACTAGGTTTTGTTGAGGGAAATTGTTTTAAGAGTAACGAAGTGCTATCCGTGTACCAAGTCACCACCATATCAGGTGAGTGCAGTATTTTATATAAATTATGTGCTATGTGTGCATATTATATGAATGCTTGTTGTTTATGTTGTATGAATGATTTTATACATGTTTTAAATGATTTAAACTATAAATGTATTTTATATCTATAATAATGTTGGACGATGTGAGAAGCCTTTTCCCCAAATGATTGCCCCATCATTCAGTAGAGTATGTATGACAACCACGGACAATTCTAGACAGTCCAGTGGAACACTAGCAGGCTCGCAACATGTAGGTGTTGTGAACGATGTGTTCACCCAGTGTACTCTAAACCTTGGTGACCATGCATACTTGGTGCCCTAAACCTTGGTGACCATGCAGACTTGGTGCCTAAACCCTGATGATCATGCAGACTTGATGCCTAAACCCTGGTGATCATGCAGACTTGATGCCTAAATCTTGGTGATCATGCAGAGTTGATTCCTAAACCATGGCGACTATGCAGACTTAGTGCCTGTTGTGTAAACCGTGGCAATGATGGAGTTCGTGTCGATTCCTTAGGATGATCCTTAGGAATGAGTAAACGAGAAATAGCTGATTCTTAGGGTAGATCCTTAAGAATAAAGAAGATAATGGGGATGGGTAATCGGGTTGATTGCTTGATTGTATAAACATAAGAATTATATTATTGTGGGTTGAAAACCCTATGTACTCACCAGGTTTCCCAACCTGACCCACTAAATTTATTTATATCACAGGTGTTGTTATGATGTCACATTACACTAAGAGATTAAGGAGATGTAAATCCCTATTGATAATGAATGTATGTTCTGTGTTTATGCTTATGTTTCTGTATTGACGATGACATCCCAAATGTTTTAAAATGAATAAAAATACTTTTCTTCAGAAATGCTTTGATAACGTATTTATCATGTTTTACTGGGAAAAAATTCCGCAACATTTTTATTAAAAAAAGGTACTCTGATTTTCATAAAGCATAAACAAAATCGGTCTTTTCTGGCCGAGAAAATGGGGATGTCATAAATACCTATGCTCAGCATTAGAAAAAAATTGATCAACTAAAATTTGTAATCCCTACATGACTCAACAGACAATAATTAAAATTAATTTCTTGGTAAAAAAACACAATCTAAATGATCAATTAATGAACTGTAATTTACCTTTTGCTTATCACTTATGAAACTATAGTTTGAGTTGCTCCCAAGCTCGAAGACATCCCGAAGGTTTTCTAAAAACCACTTCCAGCTAGCTGTGTTTTCAGACTCAACAATTGCATAGGCCAAGGGATAAATTCCATTGTTGGAATCTAGACCAACTGCTGTAAGAACCTGACCAGGGAATGGGCCTTTCATCAAGACACCATCCAAACCTACTAAGTCTCTAAGACATGCTTCGAAACCTTTTTCAATGGACCCCAGCGTACATAAATCCTTCTAAACTACCTTGTTGAGGATGCATGGTTGCTATTAGGACACACATCTATTTTGACTATTGTGTCTGGGTTTGTAGCCTGAAGTTCAAGAGCATAGTCCCTCAACAATTCAAACTGTTTTGTGTAGTCCCCAGTTACATGCTTTCTAGCCATATATTTTTCCTTAAACACCTTATCCATCGAAATACCCACCTGGTAGGTCTTTTGAAAGTGATCTTGTATGGCTCTCAAAGGAATCTTCGGATGTACCTCAACTTGATCTATGATTTTCTTGTAGATTAAAGAAGCAGTACAAGCTCTGAGTTTTCTTGTTTGTAAGCATGTATGAGTTTGGTTTAAGGTCCTTATAAACCAATCAGATTCGAGTTTGACCTAGATGGATGTATATGTCAACCACATGTTTCCTTTTGTGTCTTTACTTCTTTTCCCTTACTTTTTGAAGTGGTAGGTTGAGTCCCCACTTGACCTTTATTGATGACAGGTACAACTCCTCTGTACTGTTCCCTAAGCCTTTGATTGTCATTTTTTTAAAGAATAGATTCCTTCTTGTTTCTAGTGCATGCACATCAATTAAATCCTTTAATTCTTTTTTACTTTTAAACTTTTGGCCCAATGAGAATGACTGTATATGTACTGACCTAAGGCTGCACCTTTTTTCTTTTCCCCAATTTTATATAAGAGCTCTTCTTTGTTTGTCTTGGTCTGATCCTTCATCCAATAATTCAAACTCCTCATTGTTGATCACTTCCATATCTTCAGGTTCATGACCATCATTAGTACATGCTCCTTCAACATCACTTTCAACATTTAGAAAGAAGTCTGCCATGTCCACATCAACATCTTCTATATTGTTCTCCTCATCCATTATGTCATCCACTTTATCTTCATTTTCTGATTGTTTCCCATCATGATCATGACCTTCATCCTTTACATACTCTTCATCACTCTCTTTAGATTTATCATCCCCTTCATACTCTTCAACATCCTCATCGCTTCCAATTAAATTTTCCATAAGGTTATCAAAAAGTTCATTTTATTGTTCATCATCATTAATAGGTGAGGTGTTGTAGCATCCATCAATATGGTCATTATCACGAATCCCAATCATCTCATCCCATACATTAAAAATATTTGAAGTAAATGGATTGTAGCATCCTTCAACAATAGTTGCAGCCTCATGAACCTCCTTAACACCCTCATTAGTATTTTCCTTCTCTTTTAAATCATCAATATCCTCTAAATTAAGTCTCTTGCTACAAGAACCTTCCTTTCTTATTGAATTACCAACTCTACCCCTTCTATACTCTAATGAGAATGCATCACTTTTACTCCCAAAAAGAATCAAAGACATGTACTCACCAATTGGCTCAACATTGACATGGTTTATATTTCTTAATGGAGATTCTACATGAACTTCAGTCTTATATTCAGCCCCTTGATCATCATTTTCTGGTAATTCCTCAATGACAACTTTACCCTTTGCATTTGGAGACATGAAGTATGTGAGTAGATTTTCTTCTCATGTTTTGTGTACACCTCAATCAACTTGTTATTTCGAAGAAATTTAGAAAGATTGATAACATCCTGATCATTCCCTATAGCTCTAAGACCAAATTGAAAGTTACCATTGGGTATCCTGAAATGGCAATATATCACTAGGGATTCATCAGTTAATTCAATCATCTGTGGGTCTGGGTAACCTAGGTCAAGCATTATGGCATCAAGTTCATGTACATAAAACTCATTTATGTCCACATAATCAACATAACGCACTTCACCTCCAGTATACTTTATGCCAGGTAACTTAGTAAACTTCCCACCATGATGAAGCTTAATACTAAACCATGTGGGTGCACCTGCTACAAGTCAAAATTGTACATGATAACAAAGTCAAAATTTGGCGGATTTTAGTATAAATCAAGGGTAAAATAAAAAATAGGAATGTTTAAGAAAACAGAGCAACTTACCATATAAGGATGATACGTCGACAACTTCATTTTTTGGTATGAACTGCCACATTACGTGCACCATTTCAACTTTAACGTATGACCTTGTCTCGTTTTGCTTCGATTAGGTTCTTTAGATAACGAAGAATATTTTTTTTGCAGGTTTAATGGAGCAGAAGGAAGGAGGGAGGTGGGGAGTTGACGGGTGTTTGGTATTGTAAATGAGTGATAAAAGGTAGAAGGAAGCGTGACATTCATATGCAAAAATGGTCCCTATAAGTAAAAAGAAAGAAATACCCTCACGTACAAGGCACATGAGGGGGTTAACAGATTCTTTTTAATGGGTGTTAATTATAGGGACCATTCTCACAAACAAAGTTGTCCAAAAGGACCACAAAACCAAAAAACTCGTGGATTGGACAAAAAACCCCCAAAAAATGCATACCACAGAGACCATTTTTGCAATTTTGTCTATTTGGTAAACAACTTGGATTTCAAATCGTCCAGAAACTCTAAAATCCATATTTTTATGAATACCACCAAGTCAGTAAAACTCATTATTACATTACAATTCCTTTATTGGAATGGTTTCATAAACTTTATAGTAACTACAACATCGGATTATATATATATATATATATATATATATGTTGTAATAACATTAATACCTACAAATGTCATTGCTATGTAAAATAGACAAACAATATATATATATATATACATATATATATATATATATATATATATATATATATATCATTTGTAATAACATTAATACCTATCGTCATTTATCTTAGAAAATGTTATTAACCTTAAGGGTCTAAACTTATGTTCAAAGATAAGAGGGTTGCCAAGCCATTGCATCATGAAATGATCCCCTTACTCGTATCCCATAGTTAGATATTGTGCGTTCAAGCGAGGTGCATATGTTGGATTAGATGTCTAACCCCATAACTCTTATTGGTATGTACTGGACCTGAGAGTAGCATGGTCCATTTGAGTTTCATATCATCAGGACAATTTGTTTGGATGGACTGTTGAGAGAAGAGGTTATATATGATTTATTAATATATTATAGGTTATAATATATTAATATGAAATCATATGAGTTGATTAGTATTGATCAAGAATTAATTTAGTTATCAAAAGAGACTAATTAAATCTATGGTGACTAATTATGTTAATTAGTTATATTTATATGTATTGGGCTTATGATCCATGTTGGATCAAGTTTATGTATGGATACATAAATATTGGGGCCACATGAACCATGGATCATAAACCCATGGATATGGATTTGGGTTATACCCATGAACGTTGAAATCCAACATATAAATACATGCTCTTAACCTAAAAAACGCCCACTTGTGTATTCTTGTAGTCGGTGGTGTTTTGGGTGCATAGAAATTCTCTCTCATGTTTCTCTTTTGTCCATGATGTGTTGTGATTCCATTTGAGGCTTCCACACTATTGGGGCTAAGTCTTTAACGCCAAATACAACAAGACTTCATGCTCCTTCAAAAGGTATGGTATCCTAACTAGTATCTTATATTCTTTATGTCATTTGCATGCTAGTTATATGTTGAATATCTTGGAAACCATTTGCATGTATAATTATCGAAAACATAGATCCAAGGTATTTAGGGTTGTACGTGCACCATAAGATGTTGTAGTATACTAAAACCCAACAGTATAAACCTTAGTTCGTGTGAAAGATGTAATTAACTCTTCGAACCTTAGAGGGGATTAAGTACACTTAAGCACATGACAAATTATCAGTCTCTAGCTTGTGTAGATGATAGTTTAAAGATCATTTTGTTGATATAACGGAATTGTTCAAGTGTTAAGATCTTGAGTTGTTCGAGTGTAAAGATCCTTGTGTTTCAGGATCTTCATCCTTGAGGGTCCCCATATATAAGGATCATTGCTTATAGAGATCCTTATCTATACATTGTTCTGCATAGAAAACGTTAGCTAGGGGTGGTCCCTCCGATGCTTAAGTTATTAACATATTCGAGGAGAAAATAAGTAATGATGAAAAGTTTAAGGTAAAGAACATGTACACCTTGGTTTTGTTGAAGATCAATCGATCTTGTTTACATATAGTATGCTTTGAGATGTATAGCATTCCAAGATCTTGGAAAAATGTCTCATTCAAGTGTTGATAGCCAATTCGCTCCTTTTCTTGCTTCAGCATGTATGAGATATGGTACTTCCAATTTAGGAGCTAATTTACCTGCATTGGGATCCTTTGTGTTTTGGAATGTTTTCCTTAATACCAAGTCTCCTATTTGGAATAAACTGACTTTTATGTTCTTGTTGTAAGCCTTGGTGATCCTTTTTTGATGAGTAGCAATGCGTATCTTGGCAACATCTCTAAGTTCATCAATGTTGTTAAGATCCTGGGCTAGGATCCTGTCATTGCTTTCTTGGTTTTGGAGATAGTATCTTGCTATCGGGATCACTACTTCGGTAGGGATCATTGGTTCTATCCCAAACACCAATCAGTAGGGGGTCTGACCTGTGGCTACTTTGGAAGTGGTCCTATCTGGCCACAAGACGAAAAGAAGCTCTTCTGTCCATCTTCCTTTCTTTTTATCGAGCCTTTTCTTCAAGTTGTTCACTATGATCTTATTGCTAGATTCTGTTTGACCATTAGCTTAGGGATAAATAGGAGTGGACATTATCATTTGATTCCCCAAATCATGCAAAAGTCTTGTATTTTTTCTTACGAATTAGGATCCATTGTCGTATATGATTTCAACCGGGTTCCCAAACGTGGTCAAGATATTACGTTTAATAAACGAGACTACCTTTTTGTCTCTTACTTGAACGAAGGCTTCAACTTCTATCCACTTCAATAAGTAATCAGTCATCGCCAACATGATGACTTTTCCTCCTGGAGCTATTGGTAATTTCACCACTATATCCATTCCCTATTTCATGAATGTCCATGGAGATATAATAGGATGTAGACGTTCTACTGGTTGATGCTGGATGTTACTATGTCGTGATGGCTCTATCCCAATGGATAGAGAAAATGGAAACTCTATTCGAAATATGCACGTGCCCCGAAGAAAGCAAAGTAAAATTTTCCGCCTGTACTTTCTCCGAACGACCCTAACGTAGTGGAACGGCCACGTCAAATCACTAACCTTGGTGGTGGCGAAATCTATGGGTTTGGAAAACCTGAAACAAATGCTACTACGAGAGTACTGCCCAAGAGGCGAGATTCAGAAGCTCGAACAGGAGCTTTAGCGCCTTACGATGGTGGGCTCGAACATCACAGGCTATAGAAATAGATTCAGTGACTTGATAATACTTTGCCCAGGAATGATGATTCTAGAAAGCCAAAAGGTGGAAAGGTATATCTGGGGAGTGTCACCCCAGCTTCGAGGAAGTGTGCTAGCCTCCAAACCCACAATGTTGGATAGTGCCATGGAGCTGGTGCAATCTCTCGTTGACCATGGGGTCTGCCAAAGTGTCACAACCGTCGTCGCCGAACCAACCAAAGGAAGCAACAAAAATGACAACAATGACAACAATGGCAACAACAGCAGCAAGAAGAAGTTCTGGAGCAAGAGAAAAGGTCAAACTTCACAAGAACCTTCAAAGAAACAAATGGTAGCGGTCCACGTAGCTACTGCCCCCACTACAATTCCCGTTACCCCCGCGCGAACGAAGCAATATGTTGGGAAACTACCAAAGTGCAACAAATGCAATTACCACCACCACAGTAATTGCTGAGAAATGCATTGTAAAAACTGCGACAGGAAAAGGCACACTGCCCATTTCTGTAAGGCACTGGCGTGACCAATCACCCAAGTTTCTGGTACTGGAGTAAGCCAGGCATGTTATGGGTGTGGAGAAACTGGGCACTTAAAGACGGATTTCCCCAAGACAAAGAATACCGGCGGTGTAGGAAGAGTACTGGCGATAGGGCAGAATGAAGCAATAGCTAACCCCACGGTGGTTACAGGTACGTTTCTCCTCGACGACATTTATACATGCATGCTCGTTGACTGCGGTACAGAGCGAAGTTTTGTGAGTCATAAATTCAAACACTTACTTAATCAAAAACCCCAATCACTCAATAAAATATTCACTGTAGAAATTGCAAATGGTAAAATGGAAAGCGCAAATGATATGTACATAGGATGTACATTAAATTTAAACGAGCACTTGTTTCAAATCAATCTTATGCCAATTTCAATAAGAAGTTTTGATGTCATCATTGGTATGGATTGGTTAAGCCTTCACCATGCTGATATACTTTGTCACGCAAGGGTCGTTCGCCTCAATCTACTAAGCGGCAAAACTCTTGTCATTTATGGTGACAAACCTAGTACAAATTTACAAATCTTCTCCTGCGTCAAAGCACAAAAAATATATTCGTAAGGAATATCATGCCTTTGTAGCCCACGTGGTAGACAAGAAAACGAGAATCGAAAGACATTAAAGACATTCCGGAAGTCTGCAACTTCCCAGACGTCTTCCGAGTAGATCTTCCAGGAGTCCCACCAGAACGCCAAGTTGAGTTCAGGATCGACTTGATTCCCGGAGGTACCCCAGTAGCAAAATCACCATACCGTCTAGCCCCAGCCGAGATGCAGGAACGGTCTAGCCAACTAAACGAGCTGCTGAGAAAAGGCTTAATCAGATCGAGCTTCTCACCATGGGGAGCACCAATCCTGTTCGTAAAGAAGAAGGACAGACCTTTTCACATGTGCATCGATTACCGAGAACTAAACAAACTCACGATCAAGAACCGATATCCCCTACCATGCATACACGATTTGTTCGAAAAACTACAAGGAGCAAGCTACTTCTCAAAGATCGATCTAAGATCTTGTTATCACCAACTGCGAGGTCTGGAAGGAGACATCCCCAAAACGGCATTCCGAACTCGCTATGGACACTACGAGTTTGTAGTGATGGCCTTTGGATTGACTAATGCACCAGCGGTGTTTATGGACTTGATGAACCGAGTATGTCGTCCCTTCCTGGATAAATTTATGATTGTGTTCATAGATGATATACTCATCTATTCGAGAAGCAAGGAAGAATATAACCAACACCTCCGCCAAGTTTCGGAAACATTAAGGGCAGAGAAGCTATACGCGAAATTTTCAAAGTGAGAATTTTGGATTCGGGAAGTAGATTTCCTAGGTCACATAGTCAGCAAAGAGGGGATACATGTGGATCCTTCCAAGATCAACGAAATCGAGAATTGGAAGACTCCAAAGACTCCAACAGAAATCCGACAATTCTTGGGACTTGCCGGGTATTACTGAAGGTTCATACAAAACTTCTCAAAGATTGCTAAGCCGCTTACCAGCCTAACTCAGAAGAGTGTGACCTTCGACTGGGGAGAAAAACAAGACATTGCATTCCAAACACTAAAGCGAGCCTTATGCAGTGCACCCATTTTAAGCTTACCAGAAGGAACATAAGACTTTGTGGTCTATTGTGATG